TATCTATCTATCTATCTATCTATCTATCTATCTATCTATCTATCTATTTATTCATTTATTTATCTGACCAACCAGAATATATTTGTGGCCAAGGTTGCTGGTATCATGTCTGGATTTTATTTATTTATTTTTTTTATTTTTTTAAGATTATAGCCTTTGTATATAAATCCTTTTAATACTTTTTTCTGTTCTCACACAGCTCTATAATAGGCAATAATTTAAACTGCAACAGAAAACTAACATACAGGAGCTCTGGAGAGTAGCTCAGAACATCTTCCTGGCTGAGCCTTTTCCTTCACCTAACTTGGTATGACTTCATCTTAATCTGGGATATTGACATCTGTTATATTGCAAAGTCACTCCTGGAAACTTCCCAGGCTCCAAATCCGTCTGTCGAGTTTTTCTCAACCTGAAATTATAAACTTGTCTTTGTTCTGTTACCCTTTCTTGATGCTAAAACCTCTACCTGTTCTAGAACTCAATATACTGGCTGTCTGTTGAGATTGTAGGTCTTCAGTTTCTCAGTGGTCACACTTCAGCCAGAATTCCATTCCTGACCAGAGCTATCCTACCTTACGTCAAATCATAACAAGTGATGGAACACGATACTACTATGTCTACTACTACTATAGTTATTATTACTATTATTATTATTATACATACAATGTTAGATTGTGCTCTTATATATTCATGCTTAATATATGTTGCTAAGGGATTTCACGTTATGAAATTGCTCTCTAATATCTCCAGACAATATTGCAGTATTGCTACATGCAGATAGGAAAACATAAATCTACTAAAATAATTGTGTTGGATACTGAATGGGTACAAAGGGATACTGCAATGTATGTAGGTGATATTAAAAGTGGCATTATAGAAAATGTGTGGGTGGGACCTATCTTGTATACATCTGGAATACTTTTAGTGGCTTTGCAGGTTGGTCAAAGGCCCTGGTCCTCTTTTACTTGCCTTCTGTTTAATCTTGTGTTTATCACTCTCTCATTTTATTTGAATATGTAAGAATTTTTGTTTGTTTTTTTATTTTTGAATTTTTATGTGGCTAATTACATTTTGGGTGGTCATCTTGACTTGTAATTTGAGTTTTGTGTTTTTCCAAGTTTTCTCCAGGTTGATGGACCATCTTTTGCTATTTTCTTCTTCTGTGAGGTGTTTTTTATTGATTAAACATTCTACAGTCTAATACTTACCTGACAGGGGACTTACCATAATCAAGAAGGCAGTTTTCCCAGGATGAGACTCATCCACTGCACACTGGATGTGCTGACCACTCTCACTTTCTGAGAAAGAGGGAGAGAAAAGAAAAACTGTGTAGTCTGTCTTCTACAAGCTATAACTTCTGTCATCCACATTACAAATACTGTTATTATGAATCACTGTATTAGCTACTAGTTGTAGCTAGGTATAAGTGAACTGTATGGAGATTTGTATGAGGATATGGCTGGGTCAGGGATATACATATTCAGAACATATGTATATTCACAGATACTGAATTGTTTTTGAAAGAAACTACACAACCTTATACTCCTACTAGCACCATGAAATTTTGTATTGTTTCACCACCTTACTGTCAACTTTGCTCAGTTTGTTTATACTACTCTGGATAGTACTTTTGGGGCCATTTTGCACTTAGTAAGGTCGAGTATCTTTTCAGGCACTCCTGGGTACAACCCTCATTGTATTTTTCTAGCTGATGTGTAGACGCTATTTATGTATTATGACTTGGAATCTCTGGTCAGTTCTCTATGCTGCAATTTTTATTTCAGTTTTTACATTTTACTTCTATTTCATTAATGAAACTTTATGTGAACAAAAGGTACCATTTTTAAAATTAGACAAATACATTGACCTTTTCTTTTGTGATTTGTAGTTTAAAGAAATTCTTTTACTCTCAGGGTCCTATTTTCTTTTTGTAATGGTGATGTCTGACAATGTATCTGTTTTAAAGGCATTTCTTGACTGTTTTTAATGTTTGTTCATTTATTATAAATGTTTTCTCAATATATTTAAGTTTTGACTAAAATATAATTAAATAAACTTATCTTCCCTTTCCTCCTTCCAACTCTTCCCAAACTCCTCCTTTCTCCCTCTCAAATTCATGCTTTCCTTTTGATGATGATGTAACACATTCACACAAATACATAAATACAACCTAATGTGTCCATTTAGTATTGCTTGCATGTGTATAATTTTAGGGCTGACCACTTGATGTTGGATAACCAATTAAGTAGTTCATCCCTGGGGAAGATTCATTCTTCCTCTCTCAGCAATTGTTAGTTGCTTGTGGTTCTTTGTTTAGGGTTGTAGTACTGTGAGATTTCCCCATTCCCGTCTTTGTATATATATTAGTGTTGTCATTGCTTGGTTTTTGTTGAGGCAGCCATATTGTTGAGGTAGCATGGATGAAGCTTCCCTATCATTTCCAGGAGACACAGTCTCACAGCAGGCTTCCTGTGAATTCTGGCTCTTCTTTCTTCTTCCTCTTTTATGCTTCCTGAGGCTTAGGTTCAGGAGTTGTGCAATCAATTTCTCAACTGGAGCCAGGTATCCAACATTCTCTATATTTTGACCAGTTGTGGTTTTCTATAACCATCTTCATCTGCTGCAAAGGGAAGCTTCTTTGATTAGGAGTGATAATGATCTTTATCTATGGGCATAAAGATGCATGCATATATATGTATGATATACATGATGACATATACATGAAGATATATTTAGAATTCAGGCAGGAATTGTGCTGGTCTGATAAAGTGGCAGGAGTGGTTGTCCTCTAAGATCTATGACTTCACTCTTCTCAGGTACTTGGTTAGTTTTCCAGTATCAGACATAATTTTGCTTCCATGGAGTTAGCCTTAAGTCTAATTAGACAGCCAAGTAGTAGCCAGTAGGTTACTGCCAAGGTGCGAGTGCCACTGTTGCACTTTTGTGATACTTTCCCGTCCTGATCATTGCTGTGGATCGTATGCATCACAGTTTGGCAGAACTACTTACTGTTTCCTTCCCCTGGCAACATCTTCTGGTTCTACAAAATATCAGTCCTTGGACACGAGGCTTTCAGGTCAGATTTGGAGCTTGAATCTCCTGAGTCCCATGTCCAGAGTACATGGTGTCTTCAGTAATAAGGAGTTCCTTTCAACTTCTTGGAGGTAATCTTGATTATTTTTTATCTGTTGCTTTTTACATCAACTTTAGATCTCTTATAAAATTTCACAAATAGCAATTTTATCAGAATTTTAAAAGATCAGTTTGAAAGAAGTTTTTATAATTTCAAAGTTTTTTTGTGAATGTATTTACTTTTCAATTATTTAGAGCTTTATTAATTTTTAAAATAAAATTTGTTTGCTATTATATAAGGTGTTTACCTATTTTATTACATCAACTTCTGGAAATTTTGTTGTCAATGTAAGTGATATTTTTATAAAACATTTGTTAAAAATTTTTGCTAAGATTAGTAGTATATTTCATATACTTAGGGGCCATAATGAGCAAACAAGGAATTAAAGTACAAAAGAAAATTATACAGACAAGAAATGTGTGATTCAAGATATATAAAGCTGTTGGTGGCATAGCATGGCTTACTGTTCTACAGTCAACTCTTAGTTTTATATGTATAAAGAAAGTATTATAAAACAACAATAGGGACTGGGGATGTGTAGCAGGATATTTTCCCACTGTATTTGTATAAAGCTCAGAGATCGGGCTGTATGAGAGGTAGGCGGAGTGAGGAGTCGGGAGGAGAGAAGGAGAGGAAGCGGAGGAGACTAACCGGGAGAGGAAGAGACTGGCAACAAAGGAGGAGGATGCGTTGGTTGAGAGCAGTCCTGGGTAACACTTTATATCTAAAGGTTAGATATTGGGAAACAACCCTAATTGTGTGGGCATCTTGTTAATTGAGCATTCCAAATATACAAATCCTTTGGATACCTTTAAGCTTTAAGAGTCTTCATTCTACAGAGAACCGTGAGCATGGTGGCTGACTGGGAACAAGCTAGATCCGACACTGTTTTTTAAATATTATGTGCGCAACAAGTGGTGCACTAACTTCAGGCACGAATTCACTAGAAATTTAAGTCTATTCACCTGAGAGTTAAGGCTTGTTCCCGGGCAGCCGCCATTTTCCCACAGCTCTGGCTCTGGATTGTGGCTCCGGCTATCTAGAAACACTGGCCCTGGCACCCACGCTGTTTCCACAAAGCTTGGCTGAACCCCAGACAATACTCACCATGCTCACAGTTCCTGGTCGAATGAAGACTCTTAAAGCTTAATAATTAACCAATAGATTTATATATTTGGGATGCTCAATTAACAAGATGCCCTCACAATTAAGGTTCTTTCCCAATATTTAACCTTTAGATATAAATTGTTAACCCAGGACTGCTCTCAACCAATGCATCCTCCTCCATCGTTGCCAGTCTCCTCCTCTGCCTGTTAGTCTTCTCCCCTTCCTCTCCTTGTCTCCTCCCGACTCCTCACTCCGCCTACCTCTCATACAGCCCAATCTCTGAGCTTTATACAAATGTTGTGGGAAAACATCTCGCTACAGAGACGTAACTCAGTTGGTAGAGTATTTGCCTAGCATGCAGGAAGCCCCGTGTTCAATCCCTAGCATTGCATAAAAATGCATTTTGTGATATATACATATTTGTAATCCTTGGGAAATGGAGGCAGAAGGATCAGAAGTTTAAGGGCATCCTCAGATACACAGCAAACTTGAGGCCAGCCTGGGCTGCACTAAAATAAAATTTTAAGAATTACAAAAAGCATATTATAGCAAATACATAAGTCACTAAGATAATAGCTTCTTCGTATCATCAAGTATGTTGTATCGTACTGAGTCATTTCATATGTTTGTATTGATTTGCTGTATTTTTGTACAACTGAAAGCACAGTAGGTTTGATGATGTCAGTATCAACTCAGGTGCTATGAGATTATTTTGATGGTTAGGACCTCAGCATCTGTGGGATCACCGTCATATCTAAATCCAATATGGGCAGAAATGGTATTATGTGGCCCATGATTATCTTGTTTTACATCTTTAACGTTGATTAGACTTATTTTATCATGTAGCTTGATAATTTTAATATAGAGAACATTTTTAAGTCCAAATTTATAATCTATTTCTTCTGGCTTTTATTCCTCTGTGTGTTTTATGACTTAGTTTCAGAAGCATGAACTGGCGCATGATTCTTTTTATGTATTTTTAAATATTTTTTTAATATTTTTTACAAGTTGTTTACAAGTGGTATATTGATAATCCCAGCATTTGGAAGGCTGAGGCAGGAGGATCAAGAGGGTAGACTAACATAGTCAAACCCTGACTCTAAAACAAAACAAAACTAAACATTAAACATTACTCCCCCAAGGGGAAAAAAAATCAAATCAAACAAACATAGAAAAAATATCTGTGAATTAACCAACTAACCAACTAACCAACCAACCAGCCAGCCAGCCAGCCAGCCAGCCAGCCAGCCAACCAACCAGTCAACCAAGCAGCCAGCCAACCAAGGAAATGAATGATCTACTGGGTTCTGAGCTGTGCACATATGTGTTCAGCACTCCAGAAACTGAGGTAAAAGTATCATTGAGCTCTGGTTTGAGACCACCATGGGTAATAGAACAAGGCCAGATCTTAAACACAAGCAAAACCAGATGAAAACAGAATTTATTTGCTGGGAATTTTATAGTCTGAACAAAAAATCCATTCTTCCAAACAGGATTTGTGTTTGATGATACTGAGAAACCTACCAGACTGATGTTTTTGACTCTTACCTTTGCGGTCCAAAAATATCAACCTGAACCTGCTTAAAAATTAAAGCAAGTTTCAAACCTCTGACTTAGGAAGTTTTTATGTATTACCTGTGGCTGTTCGTGAATTCCTACCATGGTAGCCTCTAAGCCAAAGGCTGTTAGTAGCTGATCTGGCTTCATAAGAAATTGGTTGAAAATCAATTTGTGGCTACCTTTCCATATTCAACAAATAATTCAAAATTTTGCAGAAAATAATTCACATGTTTGGACGTGCACTTCTTTTAACTGACTGCTGAAGACTTCAGGGGTCCATAATATAACAGTCCATAGTCGGAGTCCATAACTGGGCACACATTTGGCCAACAACTCACATTTTGACCCCTTTAAAATCCCATGACCTTGGGTAACATTGGCTTCTGTGAACTTGAATGTTCCCATCACTTAAAAGAGGACTTAATGCGGTGTGTGTTGGTGTGTGCTTGAGGCAGAGGCAGGAGCAACAAGAGGTCAAAGGCAGCCTGGGCTGCTAGCTGACCCTGTGTAAATAAGGGAATAAAGGAGGGATTATACTTCCTTCCCCACAGCTTGGAGGAACAAGTGCTATGGGCAAGCTCTGCCACAAGTGTGAAATAGAAATCAGAATTCCTTTCAGGAAGTGGCAGAAAACAAATAGTATTTCTGAACTGAGGAATCTGTTCTCCTTTAATACTTTATCACCACATCCAGGCAGTTTCCAGAAAGTCTAAAAGTTGCTTTTAATTTTCAAACAACTTACAAATCTTCAGTATAATGAGTGAAGACTGTTGTAGTTTGGTGTTCTCTCTGAGGAAGTGGCAAGCAAACTGTGCAGGTGTATTTTATAAAAAAGTATGTTAACTCGGCAATGTGTTAAGTTCTGTGATTTTGAGGAGCATCTCATACTGAGGAAGGCATCACCTGATCTCCTTAGTATATTTATGGATTCAGAACATTTTTTTCTTCTCTTAAATAATTCTGTAAGTTACTGTAAACACTGTCCTGTACATCCAAGGGGAGGAAAAAGGAACAGGCAATTCCACATCCCTGAGGTCCAGGAGCCAGTTGGTGCTGTTGGTGCTGTTGATATAACTGTATTCGAAAGGCAGTTATAGGATAATTTGATGTGGGAGCAGGTGAAGCACAAATGATTCTGGGTTGAGGAAAGGTGAGCAAATGACTGAGACTCCAATCAACGCTGGCTCAGTTGCTATAGTGCTTGGACAGGCATGTCTCCTGATGTGATTTCACATCATTTTAGACTTAGGTTAAAGATTTGAGTTTTGGATCAACAATGTGCAAATTTGGTTTGCCATTTGAATTCAGAAAGGAGATGACAGAATTCTTGGGGGGAGCCTCCTCCACCTCCAAAAACACACAGAGAAACATTACTCTGCGTCAACTTCTCAGAGAACAGAAATGGTAAGAATGCAAAACTATTAGTGATAGAGAACATGGAGTGATTAACAACCCAAGAATACTCTCCAATAGTGCTTTGTTTATTTATTTAATCTTCGTGTTGCTAGGACTCAAATTCAGGTGAAGGAAGTGCTTTACTACTGCTCTACATTTTTAATAATAGTAATAATTAACAAAATTTGTTTTGAGACGGGGGTCTAGCTTTGTAAGTTTGGCTGGCCTCAAATTTGTAAAATCCCCCTGCCTCTGCCCAGATTACTGATGTGTCCAACCATGCCTGGCTAAGACTGTCATCTCCGTGTTTATATACATTTTTGTGTGCTAATAGAGATAAAAAATTATTTTCTCCATTACATGATTTTTTTTTTAGCCTATGCAATACTTTGTCACTTTAGAGTAATTGTGAAAGAGTCAGAGAAATGTGGTTTTCTAGTTGTCACTAGCCTGTCCCGTAATCACTGTCACAGGGAAAGATAGGAGACGAATCCTACAGACCTATTTGTTCTTGTCACTAGAGATACAATTGAGACCAAAACCCAAATTATACAAAGAGTAATTTATCAATTTCTGTTTCATTGGCGTAAATTGAAAGGAAGTGATGTCTTAGGCTCTTGCGGTCGGTCACTTTGCAACAGGAGAATTCATTATCTAATTCTACAGAAAGAAAACTGCCTCAGAGCTGTATTTGCATGTAAAGGATGAGTGCCCACACATGCAGCCAGAGTGGCAGAGGTCACAGAAAAAACAAAGTATACAGGGAACAGAGTTTCAAGTGTTCTCTGCTTGACAGCCTCCTACTTCTTCCTTTTTCTGGGTCAGAGTGGCTTTGGGGGCACATTGTTCAATGTGCTGAGAGAGAAGCTTCTGGAGCTCTTTGCTTATGCAAACTCACTTACATAAGTCCTGGTAATTCGGCTACAGGAAGTATACTGAACTCTTTGATCTCTTCCTGATTCTGAGAGGCACACAGCTAATATTAACCTGAAGGGGTATGTCCTCTTAAGACCATTTCCTATTTCATGGCATTTCCCTCAGTATGTGGAGAAGGATCAGACTTGAGACTTGAATTCTTCACCAAGTGATTGTTTTCATTTTATATAACCACAGCTTGCTGAATCCACTTAGTGTTGCTTGTGTATATATGTTTCAGGACTGGTCACCCACTATTTGATAAGTATTTGGGGCCTTCATCTCTTAGGAAAACTACTCACTTTCTTACTTCACAGTTGTTACTTGACTGTAGTTCTTTATTTAGAGGGGACCGTGTGATTTCCAACATCCAATGTTCCCCATCCACATAGGCATTGTCATTTATTCAGGTCTTGTTTGAGCAGTCATATTGTTGAGATTTCATGGGTGTAGCTTCCCTGTCATAATTAGAAGACACAATTTTGCATCAGATTTTCTGATCCTCCGACTCTTACTCTGCCCATCTCTTCTGCAGTGCTTTCTAATCATTAGCTGTATGAGTTGGGCTGTCCATGTACCAGTCTGGGCTGGGCACTTCACAGTTGTTCTCTGCAGTATGACTAGTTGTGGTTTTCTATAATGGTCCCATTGATGGCAAAGAGAGACTGTTTTGATAAGGTGTGAGAACCACACACATGCTGGGGTGTAAGGATAAGTATTTGGAATGCAGTTAGGAATTATGCTGGTCTAAGAAAGGGGCAGTGATCGGTTCTCCTTTTAGATCTGTGGCCTTACCAGCTATGGGTGTTTGGTTAAGCTTCCAGGACCAGACATAATTTCTATAATGTTGAGTGGGCTTTGAATCCAATTAGAAAGGTGCTGGCTGCCACCAAGATGTATGTGCTACTATTGCACCAGTAGGAGTATCTTGTCACACTGAGTATTGCTATGGTTTGTAGGCATTATAGTTGGGCAGGATGATTTAATGCTTCCTTCTCTTGGCAGCTTGCATACTGTCTTCCAGTACTATGAAAACTAGTCCTGGGGTGGGTGGGGGGGAAGCTTTTGGGTCAGATGCAGCTCCTTTACTCTTGTGTCTGAAGTAAATGGTGTGGTGCCTTCGTAAAGTCTTACCCTTAAGTTTTGGGAGGCAATTAAGAGCAACAGCAGTATCCTATATTGTTTTAGCATCCTTTAGACTCTCCTGACCAATGACTTGAAGTGTGGTTTCTCATGCTTATTACTGGGGTTTTTATTACATAGTCTATGGGTCTTAATGGGAACATTGTCACCCCAGAAGAGAATTTTTTTTTTTCTGAGACAGGGTTCATCTGTGTAGCCCTGGCTGTCCTGGAACTCACTCTGTAGACCAGGCTGGCTTTGAACTCAGAATTCTACCTGCCTCTGCCTCCCAAGTGCTGGGATTAAAGGTGTGCACCACCATTGCTCGGCACCCCAGCAGAGAAACTTAATCCAACCTATATACATATGAGTACACATACACGTATTATATGTAGTTTTAGATAAAGATAGAGAAACTTAAGGTTCATTCCATTTGTCTGAACACTTTCTCGTTACTCTCTCTGGTCTCCAGTTCAGGTGACAGGTCCAAAGGATTTCATTAGGCCTTTCTTCTTGTCTACTGAGATCTAACGTCCTTTAAATACCACGAGAGTTATTAAAAGTAAAATAGGTGAATTAGAATGATGTAGATGTGCTTTGGCATCAAAGGAGACTGGATTGAGTATATCGTCAGCTCCATCACTCAGTCAGTACTGTGGAGGTTGAGTCCCTTCACACCTCAGCACTCACCTCCCACCAAGGGATGGGGGAGTTGATGAATTTGAACATTTCTTGGTCCAATTCTTACCTCTTTTCAATGACTTAGTTGCAATTTTGCTGCGAGGGGGACGAAGAGATGTGGTGGTGGTCATTGTCCTTACAGTGATTAAGGGGTTTTGTCTGCTATTATTAGATTACAACTTCTAGGTGGCCAGGGGGTTGCATGTTTTACTCACTTTATCTGAGAATTAGTGAACTGAACTTTAAGTACAGTCTCTATATTGGATGAATTATTTTTGTTTGTTTTTGTTTGAAAAACATGAGAACCAAGGCCATATTTAACTGTGTTAGACATAGTTAACACATTTTTAAATAATTATTTTACAATCTCTTTCCTGGTTTTCTTTTCCTGGAAACTCCATGTACTCTGGGTTGTTGAATTTGTCACTATTGCTTTCATATAAGTGTGAATCTGCACACACACACACACACACACACACACGTTTTAAGTGGCTATGTCTTTTTGGTACATTTATCTTAAACCTTGAATCTGTTGTTGCTTGTCTGGCCTACAAAGAGACCTTGATAATTGACAGTTGTATTCTGACCTGAGAGAACTCACAGAGCTGTGATTATAGGCGCCTTCTAGCTGTCACTTTGATTTCAGTGGGATTGTACTTCAATGCTTTGCCTAGGAGCACTAAGAGAGAGAGAGTTTTCCTTTGCAGGTTCCCTTTAGAAAAACTTCACCAAAATGAGGGGGGAAAGACACCAGCTTTCTTTTCATCTGGAATTAATGTGATCATCAGTGTCTAAAGAAGGGAGAGGAGGCTGGTTTCGGTTTCAGTGAAATCCAGACTTTCAAAGCCATTGAGCTGTTGATCCCGTTCCTTTCTGTCCCCTACTGCTTTCCTCCAATATCACGTCTGCATCAAAGCTACACCCCTGACATGAGCAGAAGAGTCTGAGGCAAGGTGAAGATGCAGAGCATGCCGGTTGAAAAGCACGGCTTCACAGAGCAGCCACACACATGTAGGATGGGATTTGAGGAGTTGTCATCCTGGTTGCTAACATACCAGGAAGTTGAACGGAAGGTTGGGTTACTCTGGGTGCTGCCCTGAGGGTGTAGAGACCGCTACACTCTTACTAAGAGAGGAAACCCTTGAAAACTCAGAGACTGGTGAACATGGGACTCCTGACTAAATGTTTGGAGGCCAAGACAAAATTTCGTTTATCAAATCAAAGTTTTTTTTTCAAATAGCTTTCCTTGACAGTCGAGAGCACTGGTGCTGAACACTGGGGTGGGAAAATAATCTGAGGATCGGCTGTTCTAGTTTGCTACATTTGTAATGAAATATAGTGGAGAGGTAGGACCTAAAATCACAACACAGAAATATAGAGATGATGTTAAAACAAGGGGTTATCGTAAGAAGCAAACAGGCAATTTTGGGCTTTTATGGTGTGGCAACTGGATTCACTATTTAAAATGAACATAACAAAGTGGAAGAGAAAAAGGCTAATGTTACCCATGTTAGCTTGCATGTTACAGAAAACGGTCCTTAAAAAAAGTAACTTGTTTTCTAAAGAGCAAGTTGGTTGGAAAACCACTTTCACAAAAACAAAACAGTATAAACAAACCCAGCAACAAAAAAGCGCGCATTTGAGCTGTGAGAAAGTGTGCCCCATAGATCCCTATCCTCAATTCGCAGCATCAGGAAATTGTAACTACTTTCTATGTCATCTCCTTGGCCCACTTCTGAAAAATCCTTTGGAAAAGGAGAAAGATGTGGAGATGGAAGACATGCTATTGACTTGAGATCTCCTGTCCACAGGCAGAGGGCTGCTTACCTTTCCCAGTTGGTGTGGAATTCTGTGGGTGTTTGGATGCAGAGTCTTCATTTGAACCATGCTTCTACTGAAAGGTGAGACTTAGATCCAGATCCAGATAGGAGCCTTGGGATAAGGAATTGGGGATAGCTAGTAGTGGGTGACAGTGCTGTGGGACAGCAAGGATTTGGGCTACTGCATGCTTGTGTTTAAAGCCTCCTGATTGCTGATGGGTCTTGGACAAGTGACTTAGAGTCCCATTCTGACTTTTCTGAGATGAGCTAATGTGCAGGTAATTTATTTAGTCATGTCTGTGGCCCAACACCCAAAGGATGAGTGGGACAGAAGTAGCAGTACACAGAGAACAAGGGGCTTGACCCTATGTTAGTGACCTTTCAGATTCACCCTAAGCTGAGATGGAGAAACCGTCACACTGAGCAGTTTCTCTGAATAGTAGACTAATTAGAACAATAGAGATGCCCTGAAATGGCCAGAACTGAGAGCTGTCTGTCAGCAGCTCTGTCCCTCTACTGGGGACCACAGACCCATAATGGAAGAATATCGGGGTAGCCTGCGAATCCAATACACTTAGCTTCATTGTGCCTCAGTTTCCAAGAATATTTTATTGTATAAAGTGCTTAAAGCACAGAGCAAATGTACCAATGATCAGAATGCACGGAGGTAGAAGCTAACATGTTTTGTAGGGGTTCAGAGAGGTTTCTACTCCTAGGGAGCCTTGGAACTGAGGTCTGACTTATTCTAGTCAGCTTTTAGTCACTGTATCGGATGCTTATCCTGCTAGGCTGCTCGGTCTAGACTTAATATGGCCTTGATTATCAGTGACTATATCTCACAGCAGATAGGCTACCCAAGACTGTAGGCAAATCTGGGGGGTATTTTCCTCATTAATAATTGATGTGATAGTACCAAGAAGAAAGCAAGCTGAGCAAGCCATGAGGAGCAAGCCAGTAAGCAGAGCTCTTTCATGATCCCTGCATAATTTTCTGCCTCTAGGTTCCTGCCTTGACTTCCCTCTGTTATAGGCTATGATTGGACATATAAGCCAATACAAAGCATTTCCTTTCCAAGTTGTTCTTAGAATGTTTTACTGCAGCGGCATAAGACAAACTGTGCCAAAGGTCACACGTAGTCCTTGGTTCCTGGCTCTGCCACACACTTTCACTACCATCAACTGAATTATTTCACCCTGCTTTTCTTGCCAAAATGGATAGAAGTTCTCTAAAACCACCATTCAAAAGAAGTCTCTCATCCCTCACCTTGTTTCTGTTAAGTTTTGTGGTCACAGTGAGAGGAAGAGAATTATGTAGCTCTCCAAACTGATATATAAACAAGTGTTTTGAACCCAGTGTTTAAACAAAGGCTGATCTCATTCTCTTCTGAGTGGTAAATTAGAAAGGCAGTATATGGATTTCTTTACAATTTCTTCCTTCATGAATGCATCAACAGGCAAGCATTTGTAAATAAATGACTCCTGAATTCGAAGGAAGGCGATGGCAGTTAGTGTAAGATTGTATTTTGAAGGAGCGTACAGCCTACATCAGCACTGTATTATACAGTAAGTGTGATTGAAAAGTTAAAATGCTGTTCTTCTGATGATAGCTCTGGGTTTGCAGAACAAATGTTAAACCAAATATTTTAAATAGTTTGTATTAGATTCGATGTATTGCAGGCCCCAATGTCTGCAAGGGATTGGTTTTAGGACCACCTATGAAGTTCAACATCTGTATGTTCAAGTCACTTCTGTAAAATGGCAAGGCATTAGCACAAAATGTGTGTATATCTTGCAAACTTTAATCATCTCTAGAGTGCTTATAATATCTAATACAATGTAAATGTTATTTGAGTAATTCTTATACCGAAATGTTTGGGAAATAAAGACAAGAAAATGTCTGCACATTTTCAGTGAATATCAATTTCATTTTTTCAGAAAGTCATGCTCCACAGTAGTTTGATCCAAGGCTATGGAAGCCATGGCTATTGAGGGCCAACTACAGTATGTGCATTATGCATGTAAACGTGCAACAAGAATGTAAATAACTTGCAGTAACTAGGTGCTCAATCAGCAATGGCATCAGTTTTAACAAATCCTCACTTCTTCCAGGCTATCATAAGAGGTAAAGAAACAATCCCAGTAGTTTTCTTGGTCTCCTCTCTTGATTCTCTTGAGAAGGAACTGTAAGTTACTTTTACTTAGGAGCTGGGAGGAGAAATGTTTATGGGTTTCCATTCTCTCTTTTTTCTTTGCAGGTGGAAAGCTTTTGAAGAATTCAAGATTTCCTATCAGAGGTTAGCATGTCCTAGAACTGAGTCTAACCATAAAATTTAAGTTTGTGAAGCCCGTTAACCCACAAATATAAATGATATTTCCCAGGAAAACATAGATAGTATATTTTGGATACTGTCTGCATCTTATTTTTTCTTGCAATTTATTCAAAGTCCAAGTGGAGGTTGGGAATGTTATTTGTCAACTCTAGACCCAGACTACTGCATGTTAGAGGCATTATATTCATTAAATGTGTGTGTGTGTGTGTGTGTGTGTGTGTGTGTGTGTGGTATATATGTGTATGATTATTCTAAAAAGTTGATCTCAGAAGGCAGTAATGAGGTAGAAACTGTCCATTTGGGTAAATGATTTCATTTCTTCAGATGTGTGACTAAACATAGAAGACATAACATTAATATACTATGCCCAGGGAGCTATGGATCATACTGAGGGTATCACAGGGCAGTAGAGGGAGATTAAACTAGTGGTCCAGGAAGAAGAGTTTATGTCTCTTTTTTCTTTTCCTCTGTGTATAATATGTAGCTTAATAAACATCACATGGGTCAGATGGACAGTTTGAATTATTATTGGATGTTTTTTTCTATGCCAAGATTTGTACAATGGATGCCATAGTTGTATTAATTGAGTAGAACAATACAAATGAGAGATAGAGTAAAGCATACAAAAAGATAGCAAAGCCATGCTGCTCGACTGGGTTCATTTTTGAGCTTTCTACTAGTGTGATCATGGGTAGACTACTTAGCTTTCCTCTGTCTCAGATTCCCACATGAGAAACAACATAATGGGCAACAGGGATGATTCTAAAAGTTGTACTGAAGCATTCTGGTAAAGATGGGGTGAGTCAATATGAGCTTTAGTGGTAAAACTTGATTCACAGTAATAATGGAAGCAGAAAAAAAAAAGATCAGAAATGGCTTACACATCCAGACACAGAAATCCATTAGTGAACAATTTGCTCATTTTATCCCAGGTAGTTCTTTTCCTTTCACTCCTTGTAGCTGGAAAGCTTCAGACTTGCCT